AATTTTGTTATTTTTCTGTAGCCTGCAAACTGACATCAGCAGTGCACTTTTCACTGGTAAAAATTTGTGTGACAACTCATTCACAAAAAAACAAGGTGATCATCAAGATGGGTTTTACAGAACATGCTGTTGCAGAAGAAAATTGTACAAACATGGACTTTAATTTTACTTGGACTCAAAAGTCCAGTGTGTAGGATTTAGAGGTATTTAGAGGTGAGGTTGCATGTGTCAGGCATATAGGAGAACAGGTCCTGCTCCTTTTGGAAATTTTAAGCGTATCACCACATGTGACATTGCGGGCACCAGCCCTTCATCAGACATGAGTTTCAAATACCACATGAGGTAAAAATAATGTCATCATGACAGGCAAATTCAATGTGAAATTGTAGAAGAATATATTTTTATATATATTTTCTTAACATTTTTTGGATTTTTTTTTGTGGTATTTCTCATTGAGTATTTTTGTAGTATTAGAGGCACCTCTATTTAACAGAGAAAATGAATAATTAAAAAAAAAATATATATATAGTATGTATATATTTATATAGCTACACGTGTTATCGCATGATCTGTTGGGCGACCACCATTGGTTGTATATATATTATCTTGTTCACGTCTGATGAAGGGCTGGTGCCTGCAACGTCACATGTTGTGATATGATTAAAATTTCCAGAAGGCGCAGTTTCTGGTGTGCAGACCTGTTTTTGTATTTTTGTATTTGTTCTTCTGTCCAGCACCCAGTATTTATCATTTATGGATGTGTGTGCTGGGTTTTTTTGGAGCCTCAGGTATATAGGAGAACTATGGTGGCCAACATGAAAACACGAAGGGAATCATCTACAGCCAATATTTGATTTGTTCATTCTGGGCTTGGAAGAAGGCCCACTCCATTTGTAGATATAAACAGCTCATTCTACGGTAAAAAAACACAACAACTGTTATTTTCAGGTGATTATAAACTACTGAGAACATAGTTATGAATATGATATACTATTTCTGCCAATAGATGCCCCTAAGTCTTACACACTGGACCTTTCAACGCTAATCTAAGACTAAGGACGATATATCTGTTTAAATGTGTTTTTAATTTTGGACTAGCTTCAACCTCCTTTTAGGAAGTGGACCAAAATGCCAAAACCATCCAGGAATTTCATTATTAAACTATAGATTTCTCACTTGACACCCAAGGATAAGATGTATAGTTAAACTGACCGTGCCCTCCTTTGATGTACAACATAACAAATCCTAACTCTTTACAAGATCAATGGCCTGCTCTGCTCTCACCAAGCTCAACCTCTTGTTGCTGCAGTAATTCAATTGAGGCTATCCCCCCATTGGGGTCTGTCAGTAAAAGTGAGTTATGCAAGTTCTCACTGAGCCCCTGCACTGGACTGGGGCCAGAAGATGTAGAGATGAGATAGCGTCAATCAACAGCAGCGAAAACCACTTCAGGAGTGAGGTCACTTCCCAGCGGGCTGCTCACCGACTTTCCTGCTGCTATTGAACTTAGGATACAATACCTTACATCAAATACTGAAGTTAAGAATAGAGGACGAGAACAAATCATGGACCTCTGGACCTCTTTCTAGCTAGAGATAGGTTAGGAATGTTAATTGCCGAGTAGCACAGTGCAATCTAACATATGAAGAGTGGTTGTTTGGCAAAATTAGTTCAGGGCAAATCAGCTTTAAGAGGCCAAACATCTAGTAAATTATGAGAACTGCAAAAGTCTAAGTGATATTATCCTGTACAAATCTGCCTTGACGGTAATTTACTTGTACCACAATTTATCTGTCACGTTACCAGACGCATAGTAGATGATTGAGTAAAATTATTGTATTTTTGTGTATTACATATTTCTAGGAATAATGCAGGCTCTTGTTGAAAGTGCATGTGGGACGTAGTGCACATTTTGTAATTGGAGGCTTTGCAACAGGATAGAAGCCATTATACAGAAGGTTGAAGATTAAATATTGTTATCAATTAGTATGTAGTTTTTCCTTATGACGGGCACTAACTTGAACAATGAATACATTGCATAAAACAGAGACGTGAGGTGTAAATGCCTCTCTCTTGAGGCTGCTAGCTAGTCCTTTGTAATTATAATTGTTTAAAGTCCAACTGAAATCAGTTAAATCTTTTTAGTGTGTTTATTTTCATAAAATTTCGGTATAAATGTTTGGTGCTTAATTAATTGGTATTGGGCAGCCAAAATGTCTAGCTTTCCTCTTCTGGATTCTGCCTACTGCCCCAGGAAAGATCCATTGAGACAAGTCATGTGACACATCGGAGACTCCATGTGACTCTTTAGATCATAATACAGTCTTTTAGAGCAGTAGATACAAGCTCGGCAAACAGAAATACGACGTAATCTTTTGAATTGAAGAACTTCGGATTCTGGCAGTAATCATGTGCTTGGAAAGTTTTGCACAGTTAAAACTAGCAAAAAATGTCACAGCGGTCAGTGTTGGATTTCTTTTGAAGTGCAGCGTAAAAAGGACAAATGCACCAAATGGTACATCCATCCATCCATTTTCACCCGCTTATCCGGAGCCAGGTTGCAGAGGCAGCAGGCCAAGCAAAATACCCCAGACCTCCCAGACCAGATGAGATATGTAATCCCTCCAGCACATTCTGGGTCTGCCCCAGGGCCTCCTACCAGTGGGACATGCCCAGAACACCTTCAGCAGAGGTGCCCAGGAGGCATCCTGATAAGATGCCCGAACCACCTCAACTGACCCCTTTCGATGCGAAGGAGCAGCGGCTCTACTCCGAGCTTCCTCCAGATGTCTGAGCTCCTTGTCCTGTATCTAAGGCTGAGCCCAGCCACTCCATGGAGGAAACTCATTTCAGCCGCTTGTATCCGCGACCTCATTCTTTTGGTCACTACCCAAATCTCATGACCATAGGTGAGGGTTGGGATGTAGATGGACCAGTAAATTGAAAGCTTCTGGCTCAGCTTCCGCTTCACCATGACGGTCCAGCACAGCGCACGCATCACTGCAGAAGCCACACCAAATGTTACAGTAAAAGAAAATTTGTTGCAGGTAAAAAATTTTGGTGCATGGAGTTCAATGCACCAGTACATGTTCACAAAAAAAAAGGATTTTAAGACCAGTACTATTTCTCCTCGAGGGTACTTGGAGGTGCACTTGGGTGCTTCTCTTAGGAAAACAATGTGGATGTGACCATTTAAAAAAACCCTGTTCCTCTACTAAAGGCCATGCCTTGGTCAATCTGTTGCCAATGTTTTTACAGACAAAGGTTTAACTAAGGAACAAATAATAAAAATCAAAGAAGCCGTCTCTGGAAAAATGTTGTTAGCCAGGAAAGAAACATGATTATTTCTGTCCTCACGTTGAGGGATCCAAAACATCCATGAAAACCTGTGTGAAGATGGACCGGAAGCAATCATGGGAACTTTGATTATAAAATGGAAGATAGTGAGATGTCCCTCATATGTCCGTTTCCCCCCCGAGAGGAAATAAAGAGGTTTTCCAGTCAGACACACTGACACAGCCAGTGAGACACATAGACTGCAATATAAGTCCAGCCAGACATACAGATGGATATGCCAGGAGTACAACTAAAGTCCCTCGCCAGATTCACAGAAACAGGCCAGGCCAGAGAAGCAGATGCTGCTGCACAGAAGCTACAATACACTTCCACTCAGTTTCTTAGCCAGTAACTGGCTGGAAAGAGCCAGACAAAGCACATCCCTGAATTAAGAGAGTTAATATCACAAAGATGACCAAACTTTTTGTCATGCTCAGCTTAATGCTGAAATGTAACACAGCTGATTGGGTGTTGACAGGTGAGAGTTCTAATTAATCATAAGAGAAGCAAGTATGATGCAGTTTAAGTTCTTAAAGCCATGAGCTTTTGTCTCTGTGATAACTAAGTTAGATTAAAATGACTACCCACAGTTTGTGGAGTGAGTAACTTCCAGCCTGGTCTCTCTTCCAATTTGTCACATACTGACGTTGTGTCACGATTCTTGGCGTCTGAATACTGATGCACAAGGTTATCTTTAGTGTCTGCGTGAGATGCATCAAGCTTTCAACTAACTCCCATCTGCAGCAATATTAGACGCTCAAAGCAACTGCTATAAAGAGCGACAAAGTGTGCATAGGGAGTTGGTCGGGTAATGGACAATGATAGAAAAACAGGACTTTGACCCAGGAGGCCTCTGTTTGTGTCTTGTGTAAAACTAAAAATCAACATTGACCTATTTTAATGTAAGATTACATAAGGTACGAAAGTACATCACATAGATACATCACTTCACAACACCTATTCAAGTAATATTACACTATGTTTAACCGTTACTCCATAACAAACGTACTTTCTTTAACATTACCAATGCGTGTTTCACCCAGGAGACAGCTGTGCGTCTGATACAGATTCTAAAGATGCCTTGTGCATCAGAATCAGACACCCAGAGGGTGTGACAAAGCGCTGGTATTTGACAATGTGGGAATGAGAACAGGTTGTAACAGGCACACAGAGACAAATATAGACGTTTTACACATTAGGAAACTGAATATCAAAGAAAAGCAAAGACTACTGATGAAGTCTGACAACTCCCACTGTTTTGGATCTGTATCAGTAATCTGTCTACCAGTAATCTACGGCTGGACACAAAGCAAAGGAAGGAAGAATCTGTTTAGAGATGTTCCAAGAAATGAAATGCAGCATTCCTGAACAGTATATTCAGTTGTTGTTTCCATTATACCTTGAAATGATCATTTATAAATGTCAAAGTTTGATAATGGCAATCTCCACTGGATACATGGCAGTGAGAAAATGAAGAAGTCTAAGTCGGTAAGGCGCAGGGAAAAGAAAAAAAAAAACGATCACATGTGGGAGGCGGGATTTATTCCTAAGCTTTGTGTGACTCCAGAGTTGGGGAACAAACACTGACTGTTGATCAGTGTGACCAGGACCAAATCCAACATCATCTCTTTGTCTGAAGGGCGAGGTACAAGCATGCCACTAACCTTCTTGGTCTTGACAGTGGATTGGCAGCAGTCTCCGCCGTCATAGTTGCAGAAGGCTCTGTTGTTGACCGAATCACAGTAGTTGTCTCCCATGAATGGCTGTACCAGAAAGAGAGAGCATCAATTAGGCAAGAGCCCTGAGCAAGTAAAGATAATAGTTAAAAGCCCAAGTGCCGAAGAAGCCTTTTCTAGTTTACTTCCGAGCATTTCAGGGCCTTTTAGAGGTCTCTGGATATATTTGCTGATGAATCTCATACATTAAATTTACCCCATTTTTCAACATGACTTTTTAAGCCCTTAGTGGGCCAGACCTTTAAATCAAACCGAGGACACCATAAACTATCCACTGCACAAAACACTCCAATAAGGTGATTTATTGTGTTGGCCTCACCCTTTCCACTTGGGTTACCAATCAGCTTATCCCATTGGCCTAAACTGAGTTGATGATATCATTCTTCCGTGGCGTAAAGTGAAATTCTTTCACATGTTGTATTCACATGTGAACGTACCATTTTTAAAGAGAGGACATGTTTAGCATGTGATCACATGATCACATGTTTAAGAGGTAATAAATCAGTAAGCAAGCTGATAAGTGTCAATGAGAGTCAGATACCCATGTAGCAACGCAAACTGCCCATTGGTCCGACAGCCCATTGGTCCGACATCCCATTGTTCCGACCATATTAAATCCATTGTTCCGAAGTCCCGTTGTTCCGAAATCATCATGATGCCCTGTGGTTAAGGTCTGGTTAGGTTTAGGCACAAAAACCACTTGGTTAGGGTTAGGAAAAGATCATGGTGTGGGTTAAAATGAAAAAGAAAGTGACAAACACATAAGATGTGAGCCTGCTTCGCCTCAAGCCTTTCCCAGCTGACCCAGAGCCGGTCGCGGTTCACCATCTAGGCAGAAATACTCCCGCCGGGAGCTGTTCAGTACCGTTGACCTTCGGACTAATGGGATGTCTGACCAATGGGCTGTCGGACCAATGACATGGACCCATAACAACAGCATTTTTGACTGAATTCCTAAATGGCTTCTCTGAACCATACACCTGTACACATGGACAGATTATGAAACAATGGGCCCCTAGGCACAGACATGCAAAAGGCTCCACCACCTCTCCCACATAGTCACAAGACACACCTGTTGTTATTTTGCATCTTTCTGTAGTTGTCAGCGTCTCTTTGTGGTTTTGTGTCTCTGGTATTTCTGTGTGTCCTTGTGGTTGTTTTGTGTTTCTTTGGAATTGTTTTGTGTCTCTTTGAGGTCATTTTGTGTTTCTAAGCTGTATATATGTGTCTTTTTGGTCATTTTGTGTCTCTATGCAGTAATTCCGTGCTTCATTGTAGTTTTTTTGCACCTATTTGTGACAAGTGTTTGTCTCTTTGTAGGTCTGTGTCTCTTTGTCATCCCTTTTCATCATTTCATAATCGTTTCGTGTCTTTTTGTAGTTCCTTTGCATCTCCTTGTGGTCATTTGAGTCTCTTCTTGGTCAATACATGTTAATTTGATCAACGTTTTGCAGGTGGAGGCCAGAAGGGGCCCTGACACTTTGGGCCCTTGGGCCTGTTCCTAGTAGACCTATTCAGTAATTCATCCATATACCTGTTTTCCCCTCCCAACTGACATCAGAAACAGCCCTCGAAGTGGACAACATTACTGTACTTTTAACTTCACCCCCACATCAGCTAGCCTGTAGAAAAAATACTGGCTACCAATCTCAGCCCTATCTGGAAATAAATTGCGACTTATAAATCCAAGTATTCTGACAATCTTCACCCACTGTGCAGGTTGGTCTGAGTATTTTACTTGTCCAGCATCTGCCAGTCCATTGTCCATCCAAATCCATTGGCCAAGCACAGCAAATAAACTTTTATAAGACTACATTTGCAGGCTGTTAAGACTGTGATTCATTTGTATCAAAGCTAGTTTCTTTGGGTGTGTTCTTTGTGTAAGCGGGGGTCATTTTTATGTGCCCAGACAAGCATTACCACGTGTATGTTTTGTGCTGTTTTCATGCTTGTATGAATATGTTTATTCACCATGAAAGTGGAACCAACTGTAATATCCACTATAAATGTCTATACTAAAATCTGGCAACATAATATATCAGACACATTTCTCATCGCTCTGTTTGGTTTGGGATCAAGGAAGGTGGAAGGATTAAAGTATTAAAGTCCCATATGATAGATGAGACTATTACTCCACAAAAACGAATCTAATTCAGGTCCAGCCCTTACCTCACATCCTTTGATGCAGTGGAGCAATTCTGGGTGCGGATACCATTTCAGTCCCATTGTACAGACTATGCTCTGAAAGATAAGACAAAAATTTGAGGTGAGGTGTAATTATTTAAGAAACAGTGGTGCTTTAAGGGGGCTATTTCCCTTATGTACAGCATTTAAATAGCTTTGCCAAGAATGTGTTACATTTACCTGCATTTCACTCCACACAAAGTCACAGGGCACTTTCTAGCCACACACTCGCAAACGCACACACACACACCTAACATAGCGAAACATAGGGGTTATCAAAAAGGCTCCTGTGCTACACATGGAGGCTTTCATTCTCAATCCTTCTTTGATTCATACTGACCTTTTTCCACCTCAGAACAAAGCGGAATAAGTTGATTTTTACAAGACACAACTTGATAAAACATTGTGTTTTTTCATAACTAAGTCATAGCCCCAGGGGGGGAATGAGCTGAGAGCAAGAGGGAGGCAGAGAGAGGGAGACATAGAGGTAAAGAGCACCGTGTTCTCAAATATCTTTGCAGAATGTGTGGAATCCCATCCTGTTCTCCCACTGTGCTCTTCATTGAAATGCAACAGAAAACATTTGTGTCCAGGGGAGGTGGGCAGCACTGTGCATAGAGTGTGTACCTGCATGTGCAAATGTAAGTATATACTGTAGGGACATGAAAATGCATATGTTCACATGAATCCAGATGGGCATGTGTGTCTGTGCTGTGAGGCCATCTCTATTGTGTGTGTGTGTGTGTGTGTGTGTGTGTGTTTAAGCACACAGGGACAGTAGCGTACAGTATATGAGTCTACTCGAGCCAGTAGGTGGAGAGGGGTTTTGTTTACAGCAAGTGTGACCCCAGACTGGGATAGTAGTGTGTGTGATCAAAAGTGTCATCCACAGCAGAGGACTGTCTGACCTTAGATTGGTCCATTTCTCAGACCCCTGTGTCCCAATATCTCCCAAAGTTGACGTGCTTTTCTTTTGTTGCTGCAACCTAAGGTATTTTTCATTTCAGTGCTGTCAGCAAATCAATGCAAAAAAAGAAAGATGGGGGGTTGAAGGTGGAGCGAAAGAACAACATAACATCTGAGGACAACCGAGAGCTGCGGGAATAACCGTTCTACTATTGCGATGTCGCACTGCATGGCAGAATGCAGGCACATCTGTGGTGTGTGTTTGCATGTGTGTTCAGAAGTGAAGGCAATGATGGTTAGTCCCTCTATGGTGGAAGAGTAAGCACATTATTTTGTCTTAGAGGTGAAACTTTTTGCAACTACTGTACTTTTATTCTTTTTCCCGTGCTCTGCTATGATGATGTCATCCAGAAACTCCTTCTCTTCCCCTCTCCCTCATTTTCTCTCTCTCACTCTTTTTTTTCCTCTCTCAGCAAGGCCGTAAATCATGATAATCCATGATCGTGGCCTGGCCTCACCCCTCACTACGTATAGGATCCTCACCCTCTGAAGCATCCCCGGGGCGCTGATACCACATAAAAATAGATCCCTATCTCAGCGCCACCACAGACGAGGTCATGTCATGTAGAAAATGACTAATTCCACAGCAAGCCCGACAGGGTAATTTTGCTGATAAAGGGGGAGGAGGGTGCTGGGGGCGCAGAATTGTTAGAGGGACAGGAAAAAGAGGAGGAAGAGAAGGTGGAGGTAGGGAAGCAGGAGCGAATTCTAAGTGGGTCACACCAAGAACGGAAATACAACTAGTTTAAAGGCAATAAATCAACATCACTTATTAAGTTGGGAAACATTAACCTCCAACTCAGCAAAGTAGAACTAGAAAGTGCATTTGGGGACATGAATTCTCTTTTAGATTCTGTATGAAGAATCCTAAACTACAGGGGAGTTTCGAAGTTATGGTGTCTGCTCCATGTTACTACGCTCCAACTGTTACTACAACTGTAAGCCATTGCATGATTGATTTCTTTTTCCACCAGAGCAACCCCCTCCTGTTCTTGTTTCTTAATACCATTTTGTGACAGCCCTGTGCATTCCCTCCCTATATCTTAAATCTCAGCAATATCTATCCATCTGTTTGGCCTTTGGGTATTTAATGCATTTCGTGTTGCATCTATTTTTTTGCTTCTAGAATTAAATGGGCGACCCTCTCACTATAAATGATCCTTTTAACTTTGACACAAGTGTAATTGCAAATGTGACGTCTAACAAATGACTACACAATGCAAATTTCTGTCCCTTCATCGCTGGGATGCTTGTAATAAGTCTGATTACTATCGGAAATGGTATAGCTTGTGTGCGCAGCCCAGTCATCAGAAGAAAATATTGGCATTATACGTTTTTGCAAACCACTGATATGTAACATTTGTATGTTTCATAGGTATGATATCAAAAAAAGTCAGGTACTTCAGATTACATGTATATGAGCTGAGTTTCTCATCAGGGGGAGGAGAGGATGGTGTATGGCATGACACCTAGGTCAGGCAGTGGCCAAGCAGCAGAGAGCAACAGAACACTGTTAATGACCAACAAAAGAGGGTATTCTTTAACAAAAATTCTGGACATTTTGAGCTGTGTTTGAAGTGACCAAACCAAATTTATTTTTAGTTAGGGATACTTCTATATTTTAATGAGAGTTTGGGGCATTTCCAGCCAAAACAGGTATTTCTTAATGAGAGTTTGGGACATTTTTAACATGTTTGTAGTGACAAAAGCAGGTATTTTTTAAGGAGAGTATTTTCAGCTGTGATTGTAGAGACCAAATCTGGTATTATTTTTATCTAGAGTTCAGGACATTTTCAGCTGTGTTTGTAGTGAAAAAAGTGGGTATTTCCTTGACAAGAGTTTGGGACATTTCCAGCCGTGTTTGTAGTGACCAAACCTGGTATTTTTTAAACGAGAGTTCAGGACATTTTCAGCTATGTTTGTAGAGACAAAAGCAGGTATTTTTTTATCAAGAGTTTGGGACATTTCCAGCTGTTTGTAGCGACAAAAGAGGGTATATTTTAACAAGAGTTTGAGACATTTCTAGCTGTGTTTGCAGCAACAAAAGCAGGTATGTTTTAACAAGACTTATGGATATTTCCAGCTGTTTGTAGAGACCAAACCTGGAATTATTTTAAATGAGAGTTCAGGACATTTTCAGCTGTGTTTGTAGAGACAAAAGCAGGTATTTTTTTAACAAGAGTTTGGGACATTTCCAGCTGTTTGTAGCGACAAAAGAGGGTATATTTTAACAAGAGTTTGAGACATTTCCAGCTGTGTTTATAGTGACAAAAGCATTATTTTTTAACAATAGTATGGGACATTTCCAGCTGTGTTTGTAGTGACAAAAGTTTTATTTTATAACAAGAGTTTGGGACATTTCTAGCTGTTTGTAGCGACAAAAGAGGGTATATTTTAATGAGAGTTTGAGACATTTCCAGCTGTATTTGTAGAGACCAAACCTGGTATTATTTTAAATGAGAGTTCAGGACATTTTCAGCTGTGTTTGTAGAGACAAAAGAGGTTATATTTTAACAAGAGTTTGAGACATTTCCAGCTGTGTTTGTAGTGACAAAAGCATTATTTTTTAACAATAGTTTGGGACATTTCCAGCTGTGTTTGTAGTGACAAAAGTGTTATTTTTAACAAAAGTTTGGGACATTTCCAGCTGTTTGTAGCGACAAAAGAGGGTATATTTTAATGAGAGTCAGAGACATGTCCAGCTGCGTTTGTAGCAACAAAAGCAGGTATGTTTTAACAAGACTTATTGATATTTCCAGCTGTGTTTGCAGAGACCAAACCTGGTATTATTTTTACAAGAGTTCATGATATTTTCTGCTGTGTTTGTAATGATAAAAGCATTATTTTGTAACAAGAGCTAAAACATGATGTTTTCCTAACCCTAACTTTGTGGTTTTTGTGCCTAAATGTAACCACATTTTAATCACAGTGCTGTCACAATATAAAATGTAAATATGAAGAAACTTTAAGTGTCAACATATCAGCTACATATGAAATATATTAATGTAACATATATGTGGTTTGCAAAGACATGCAATGCCAACATTTATTCTGGTAATAGGGTTGTTGTGTATGTGTGTGATTAAACCGACCATCCTTGCATTAAGTACATCAACACAGAAACTCTGGAGTCAATCGATTTGGAATCTATCACCTGACAGGTAGCAGCACAGGACAAAATATGGCACATGCTTAAGTGCACACTACCAGCAAAAACTCTTACTCGTCTAACCCCCCTAACCCTGGTGCATGTCTGAAACACTCACCCTACCACCCCTTTTCTGACTTATGCTATCCACTGCCCCCAACAGCAGAGCCTCTGGTCTCAAATTACCACTGAGCACAAATCATATCAGTTACACAAATCCATGAAAAACAGATCATTTCATGTCCACGTGGCCCGAGCCACCTCTCTCTCCCGACATCCACCACAAAAAGCTGCTGACTCAGTGTGACTCTGAAACAAAAACAAAAGGAGTTGTAGGGGAAAAAAATACAGTGAGAAACACAATGTGTTCCTTTACTCGGCCGTGGCTTCTCTTTTCTCCTGCTCTGGTTACAAAACTTGATGCTATTTAGTAAGATCTTTCTCTGACTCTACAGCTAAAAGGGCATTAGGCTGACAAAAACACTAAAAACTAATTGCCTATCGTTTACATTAATCAAGTTAAAAGGGAGAGTAAGATTAGAAGAGTAAAGTGTAGTCTAGTACTCTTTACCTACACACACTAACACACACATACACATATATACTCATATACACACCACAGCCCTATCCCCACCCACCCAGAAGCTTTATATAAACTCAAATGACACCAGAGGTGGTTGGGTGTCACTCGGTGGCACTCCCAAAGGGACAAGGTGTACAGATATGTGTGTAATGACCTTCCCCAAAATGTTCTCTAACCTCTTTATTTTGCTATCTGCCAGTTTAAGCAAACATAACTTAATCAGTGAGGCCGGCAGCTGTGAAGCATATCTAAATCAAATAAGGTCATTAACCTGTGAGTGTCGAAAAGGTTTTACAACCTAGCCACAACGGTAGCAATAGTAAAGTTTGTTTTGTTTTGTTTTGTTTTGTTTTTTCACTATGGGTTATTTCTGGTTAACACAAGTACATGGCAAATGGAACACTACAAATGTCACTGTAGTGACAACACTTATTTCCAGAAGATGCTTTGCAGCTTTTGCTTTCTCCAAGAAAGGTAGCTGAAATGTCATACTGAGGACAGGGATGCGAGAGGGCAGCAGCACGTTTTCACACTTCCAATTAAAAATAGACTGAAAATATCTGAAGGGTTGCCATGCTGGCATTTTGCATTGTGGACAATAGAGCCAGGATGTGGACGCTATACGCGAAATTCCTTCCAGGCGAGTTGTCGATCGCAGAACTTTGTGAAGTGCGTCTGTTAGAGCTGTGAGGTGGACACAAACACACGTACAAACATACCTTGACTTTGTGCGGGTTCCTCCAGTGCTCTTTAAGTACACTTTCAACTGTCATGTTGCTAGGGAGGATCACCACGTCATTGTTACTCTCTCTGCACGTCAGCTCACACTCCTCACCTGTGTGTGTGTGTGTGTGTGTGTGTATGTGTGTGTGTGTGTGTGAGAGAGAGCAAGAGAGAAACAGAAAAACAAAAACCAATAAAAGTATGCACAAACAACACCTAGACCCAAGGCATTTCAATTGATGTATCCTTCCCCCCTTCCCCTTAAAATAATTATTATATTCTGTAATATTCAAAGTGCTAGGTTACATTAGAGTGGTTCGGACATTTTGTTGGCTCTCATTAGGAACAAATTATAATGATTACGGACAGTACAAAATGAAAAGGAATGAGTAATATGAATGATGAAGAATAATAGCCGTGTAACAAAGGCTGTGAGTAATACAAATAATGAAAGATGACATCAGCAGTAAGAAAATTGAATTGTTATTATACAACAGTAAATTTGTGCATACAGACCTATGCCGTGTCCTCGCTTGCATGAGTACTGTAGGCTATAATGGAGGTTTTGAGGTAAAGAACACTGGCCTTTGCTGTGTGGGCATAGGCGGAACGACCCTGTCCAGTTCCCATCCTTCCTACATCGGATCACATTGGACCCTGCGCCCTGAAAATAACACATACATTGACAGGCAAACAATTATACACACACACATTGACACGCAAACACTTGAAGGCCAAGGACATTGAGATGGCATCCCGTTGCAACGGGGGAAATACGATCCAATTTTTATCAGGCATCCAACCCACAACGCCTGAGAGGCAGAACAGATTAAAAGGTGTATACATTTCAAAAGTCTGTGGCGGCAGGACTATTCTAGAAATCAATAGCAATCTAATTAGCATGGCGTCAAATTGAGTAGGGCTAAGGGAGACAGGGAGAGAAACAGGCAGGGAGAGACAAGCGTTCCGACGGTGAGGGCAGCATAAGAAGTTTCAGTTAAAAGACAGCCAGGATAATGAGTGTGTTTTTGAAAAATCATCAGCTATCATAAACTCAATATTATAGTGTAATCTACTTTTATGGTATTTGATAAGAGAATTTTTACAATAATGTGTTTTAAAGAGACATTTAAACCCCAAATCAAAAATACATATTTTTCCTCTTACCTGTAGCATTTTTTTTGGTATCTGGATTGTTTTGGCATGAGTTGCCGGGTATTGGAAATACTTGCCGTAGAGATGTCTGCCTTTTGTAGAATAAAATGGAACTAGATTGCACTCGGCTTGTGGTGCTCAAAGCGCCAAAAAATACATTTGAAAAACTCAACAGCAATGTCTCTTCCCAGAAATCATGACCTGGTTACTCAAGATAATCCACAGCCTTTGTTGTGAGCAGTTTTGTGTCGGAACTATTTTCTTTCTACTAAACTAGACCAACTAACCATATCACCCGACAGAAGGAAGAGTGGACGAGAGCTTTGTCTAAACAATAACAACTCCTTAGTTGAGATGTAACATTAGCTAGCTCAGTAGTGATAATATTGGTAGGTATAGTTTGGTTGAAAGAAAAAAGTTCCGGCATGAAACTGCTCACAACAAGGTCTGCGCATTATCTTGAGTAACCGGGTCATGATTTCTGGAAAGAGACATTGCTGTTGAGTTTTTCAAATGTATATTTTGGTGCTTTGAGTACTACAAGCTGAGTGCCATAGAGTTCCATTATATTGGAGAGAGGGCAGACATCTCTACATCTATATCGCCAACACTCAGCAACTCACACAAAAAAAACCCTCAACCAATAAATAGCACTACAGGTAAGAAGAAAAATATGCATTGTTGCTTTTGAGTTAGACTGTCCCTTTAAACAACCAATATTTACACAAACATGACTAAGTGCATTGTGAAGGGCCTTGGTGTTTAACAACCAACAAACACAAATGCTTCTAATGAATTATATGGTATTTATTTTACATTATATAATTTATTACTTATACGCCATGTAAACCTTAAAAGTGATCAACAGTGAGGATGCAAAGACGGGAGAAAAAGAGAGAATGTCCACTTTTTATACACGTGACAAAAAGAAGACAAACATATAGGTAAAGCAAGAATAGAAAGAGAGGAAAGAGATGGACAGACCTGCTTGCATGGAGCGTGCAGCAGCCTCACCGTATGGGCAGAGCCTCCTCCGGCGATAGCAGTATTACCGGCAGGATCAGAGCAGTTGAGTTTGCAGACACTGTCAAAGCGGAAGCCGTCAGTGCAGTGATAGGAGCCGTGGAAGATGGGAGGTGGGGGATCACAAGTCACTGGCTCACATGCCCCCTCTAGCCAGCTGCCATCCTCCGTGCACTGGCGCTTAAATGCACGCCTAAAGGGAAAGGAGATGATTAACAGTTAGCCTTGTAGGCTTTGTGTAACTTCAGTGAGGTTAAAATAAAGAGTCTTTAAATGGAACTGATTTGAAGGTGGTTTTTTTTATCATTTGGGAACATTTTCTGTTGAAGACACAAACCAACAACAACCATGCTTTCTTTACCTCTTGGGTTTGCTGGTGACGTGGTAGCCTGGCTTGCACTTGTACTTGCAGAGGGTGCCCACTTTGAGGCCTGTCTCATTGCAGCGCTTGGTCTGTAGCACAGCATTGGGCACAGGAGGAGGGGCTGGGCAGCGGAGCTCACAAAGAGCCTCTGGGAAAGACCACAGACCATCTTCTAGACAGGTAAGGGTGTTGTTTGTACCTGAGGAGAGAAAGGAAAAGAGGTAGATGAAAAATAAAAATTAAGCATTGGTCAGTGAATTTCAGTCAAAAATGAGAAATACAAAAGAAAGATGCACATGAAAATGTGTGGACTGAGGAGCAGAATTTGGACAATCAAGTGACTGAAGTGAAAAAGAATGAAATAATTTTATATTTTTGTAATTCTGACTTTCAATTGTTCTGGTCTGTATGTTATGGCATACTGTAAAATCTATGATATCACTTATTTAGGTTTCTACTGTGCATTAAATTTGTTTATACCATGGTCTGGGTGAATACCTGATTCTGAATGGCTGCAGGGTATCCATTAATTCCCGTTAATGGACACTGTTACCCTGGCACTGCTGTACAAGAGTCCAGACTCACATTAAAGCAGACAAGATTAGCATCCCTGTTCACCTACAGAGCCAGTTTCTAATCAGAATAGACTGGTGCAAAGGTGATTCATCCAGCTATTAATGTCTTCTTCCTGAATCCCCAATACCTTCTCACTAGAACCCTTAATGGCCTGAAACTAAAGATACTAGATGAGAACTCTTTTGTTAACAACAGCTGCCTTCTAAATAGCAACAGCTGTTATAGTTGCAGGAAATTGTTTAAGCTGCAAGTATACTTTTTGCTCCTAGGGAAATGAGTCTAGACCAACCCTTAAGTGCCTACATCTATGGACCTGGCTTAGCTGCACACAATCTGTAATCTTATATCACTAAGGAGAGGGTACTTGATTATTTAAAGGGACCCTTTCACAAAGTGTAATTAAACAGAAAACTATGGATGAGTTACTTAATTTTAATGGTGTAGAGTCTTACAGCAATAAAATAGTAATTTCAATCAGGTGTGATTGATGCAATCAAAAAATAATTCATCAAACACAATCAATTTGTTCCCTATCTTCTTTCCCATTGCTGCTTTACTCACGATCTCCTTGGATTCCAAAGAATAAGTATGGAAGTAAAAACGCAAAAAGTCCAGAAGTTTTTAAAATCGGTAACTGCAGCTCTCTCAGTGGATTGAGTCCGAACAGGATGATCTCAAAAACCTGTAGAAGCCCCATCTCATCAGGCCCTGGCTATTTTCGGTCTATAGCTACAGTAAGAGAGTTGTGTTCACTGAAGTCTTGTTTTCAGCACAAACCTTCTTATACCTTTTTCTCTACCCCTACATGGACATCCTTCATTGAATCTCCTCCTTTGCTGTCCCTTTATGGACATCCTACATTACATCATAGGTAAGCGAGAGGCTTAGGTTTCACAAAAGTTCGGTGCTTTAGATCATATCCCTGGGTAACCTCACTTATGAACTAATGTTTTTCTAAGAATTTGCTGATCTGTTAATCTATTTTAATTCAGGTACTTCCCATTTTGGCCGGCCATCTGTGCCCGATTGGCAATCTTGGTAATTTCATCAGTCCTTTCATTTCCCTATTCACTAAATGCACATACATGTCATAAGGTTTAACCTTCATCTCCTCTTACTGTTGTTCTACTGGGGTGGTTCCTCTTCTCCGCTAGGCCCTGGCTCTGTCTGTGGTGGTCACAGGTCGAGTATTGGAGACATATAAGTCAAGTAATTGATAACCAGTTCTTCTTCTTTCTCTTCTTCTGGACTTTCAATGGTAGAATGGGCTTGTTGTGGTTCTGGCTTTTCATGAGGCTCTTCTGCCTCCAGGTTTTGCTTGTCCTATGTTTGTGGTTTAACAGGGCTTTTGTCTGGCTTTCTCTTTAGGGAGGCTGCAAGGCCCTGTGTAAGGCCTCCTGGATTTAGCGTTGATGACCATTTTTTGAGCTTCTCTGACAACATCTACAAAATGGTTCCGGAGAATCTGTCTGTTAATTGTTCTATATTAATGTGCTAGCTACAGTATCAGCTTGTATCTAAAACACATTAACAAGCTAACATCTAATTTCAACAATGAATGACTTCAACATTTCTTTAAATTTATAATGCTGCAGGACTTCAGCCTACACTGTTCCTCTGAACTTACTAACACTTGGTATCACATAAGTCACCTCTTTACTTCAGACTGCGTCCAACAGCACACATGGCCTATCATTTCTTTGTGAAAATGTTAATATTGATATGGGAACAATGACATGGCTGGAGCTAGCTAGTACTACTGTTTAACATACTGTCAAAATATACTTACTGTTTGTCACCCAAACGCAGTGTTATTGACTTTGAATCTTGCTAGCATAATGTTAGCTTTCTGGCTAATAGTTGAGCCAAAGGGTTCTAGGAGCTGAGAGGACTAGAAATATCTCCCATTGCTAAGTCGTTTCTACGGTTCGTCCTGTTTACTGGTGTAGAGAACATTTCCATTGCATAAGAACCAGATGGTAGTGATTCTTTCGGGTGATATTCAAATCCTTAGATTTTACTGAGTTATGGCTTATGAAAAACAAAACGCATAATAATTTAAATGAATGTTTTTTTCTGTTGGCAACTGACCATGGTATAAGCAGGATAATGCCTTTCAAGGTGTCAATAGCCAGGAATTAATGGATGACGTGAAGGCAACAGTTCCCTGCTGCATATCGTATGGTTCTGGCCTCCCCTCCATTAATTCCTGATAATGGACACCTCGTCTGGCATTATCCCTTACAAAATAAAAGGCAAAATTCAAATAATTCATCTCTTATCCTTTAACAATAAAATTAAGTGACTGTCACCTAATCTCATGGAAAATGTGTATCTCTGCATGCATGTGTGCACGCTCCACTATGCATCTTACCTACAAGCTGGGCAGGTTCTCGACACTGAAAGGTAATCTTCTTGCCGTAGGTGGTGCCCTCAGGGAAGCGGAAATGGGCAGGATGAACATGGTATTTGTCTGGCAGACCACAGTCCACAGGCTCACATGACACCTGCTTGTTCCACTTTCCATTTGCACAGGTTATAGTCACAGAGGAGTCTGACTGCAAAAGAAGACAAGATATCAAATGTCAGATAGAGATGATTACAGGACTTTTCTGTAGTAGGCTTTATGCATAAGTACGCTTTGGAACAAGCACTGATTTGTGCATTGATGTGACAGCTTGATGTCTCACACATCCTATAAATGTTTACCTCACAAAAAATGACTATAGCAATTCAGCACTCATTCCAACAAGTCTCCAATCAGTGTGTAACAAAGCTTGATCAGCCCTAGTGTACTGTAGCCTCACAGGCTACCCAGCAGCTCAAGTAACTGCTGATAGCATTTGTAAGGTCAAGTCATGCTACTCAGACAACTGATATCCAACAACTGCACAATCAGCCCTAACACAAAACAGATTGACTTTGATGGAAATGTGACAACAGACAGAGGGAGTCTTCCACAACTGGAATACCAATGGCTGTGGCTTTGTCTTCTGTCTGAGTTTCTGTATAAACATGAATCATAATACAAAGAGGTGGGAGACAAATAAAATACCCGGAGTAAAATAAAGCACACCAGCTTTGCAGGCAAATTAGCGCCATGCAGTTTCTTCCTAAGTTAGCTAGTGTCATCAAGTATGCCCCACAGCTAAGTGACTGACAGTAGTTGACTTTGCAGTTGCCTGTAAACAGAATTTTTTTTCCAGTGCTTCTTCCTGTCTAAGCTTCTCAAAATTGAGGCAGACTGCCGCACATTTTCAAGTGTACAAAGTGCATCCTGTGCGACTGGTCCCTTACATGTTGTTGGAATGTGGGAGGAAACTGGAGAACCCAGAGGAAATCCACACATGGGGAGAACATGAAAAATCCGCAAGAAACGGACTCAGGCCAGGAGTCAAACCCACCAGTGGTAACACCACTCTACTACGACAAACAAAGACTAGCTCAAGTCTACAGCACGAAATAAGACCTAGTTTAATAGATTAACATCCCTCCCTTCACACTATGAACATGTCATTGAGACTATTACCACTGCTGAAGTAGCTATGATCTGGCAAGGTCTGACTGGGGCTTGCAAAGGCCACATGTCTTGAATTCTTGTGTGTATGTGTGTCATATCAGTGTGTAAGCATTCCTGATCAAGAGCAATGATTGTAAAGTGAATATAGCATTAAGGACCCAGTATTACTGGTGTACAAGTACTGTACAAGTTCCTGGGAATGGAAGGGGCAACCAGAAAGTTTCCAAAACATTACATTTCAAAATGGCAATCTCTTGTTCCTGACTATTTTTTTTTTTTAACCAGAAACATTTCCTGAACTTACGTCTATTTCCTATTAGAAATAGTTCTGATTCCTGTAAATTATTTGGCTTGTGGCATGATATTTGCAGAGATGAGACCAAAATGGGGAGCCTCTGCATCATCCAAACCTCAACTGTTTTCATCCTCTTCCATTAAATAGCACCATGTAATGCAACAGGAATGAAATTGATAGCGGTGCCAAGAAATCTCACAACAAAGCTGTGAGAGCTCAATCATTTTGACTTTTCCCTCTCAGAACAAAAATGGGAAACCTGTGTTGTTGCCATGAATTACACTCTACCCCTGTTTTGGTTGACCTTAATTACCCACATCTTTTTAAAGAGTGGCCAAACGTTAAGGCCACACAAGCTGGACTCAGTTAGCATTACATATCTATTGCTTCATAACCTTCTCTCCCTTCCCGTGTATTTCTATCTTTCATCTTGATCCCATTATATGATATTGCATAACAGTATCAGGTTCCCTCAAAATAAATAAGCCCCTTTCATATTTGGATATCCAACAAAGTAACATATGCATCACATGTGAGAGCCTGCTGAAAAATAACTGGGTGTAGAGTTGAATGAGTAAATCATGATGGGAGGTTGTGAACAAAGTCTGCATGGAAGAAATGTGGAAGGATCCATTTAGTGTTAATGTGCTGACTGTAAATATGTGTGCGAGTGGAATGTTAAGTAAGTTACATGGAATGTTGTTTTAAGTTACAAAATTTACCCATCTTTAAATGCGTGTAAAAGTGTGATCATGTTTATGCACAAACACACAAATGCACACATGAAGAAATGCATTTACATTTACATACATCAGCCATGAGTTGTTTTCGCATTTAATCAAGCATGTATCCCCAAGTGTGTTTGTGTATATAGGGTTATATGCCTGTGTGTGTACTGTGTGTGTAAATGTGTGGGAATTTTCCTTCCTGTAAAAAATTTACAGCTGACCATTCTCTTCCAGAAGCAGTTTTAACAACCTTTGGCTACTCTGTCTAATTCAAGCCAGACAGACTAACAGACAAATGAACCGACAAACAGACAGCCTCTTCCTTAATCTTAGGGGGTCGCCTTCACTTGGATGGCACGCAAACACATTATTGAGTAGCAAAAGTATAGTAACACACAGATGAACGTTAATAGGTAGAGTTATTACAGTGTTGCTTAATAATGGAATTAAGTATAATTTATTATTGTCTTGTCCTCATGGAAAAGCCCTTATGAAACAGTGTTGGAGTAAAAAAACTGCTTTACTTAGAAGCAGAGAGGTTTTATTTGCCTGGAATATCCACAGAATTTCTCGTACAAAAACCAAACGGTTGCACAAATGATTTTGGACAGAATGTGTTCAGAACAGTAAAATGTGGCCGGTTGTTACTGAGAACCTAACAGTACTCAGAAGTAGACATGCTTCTAAGTACATGAAATTCTGGGAGGGTTATAATAAATGAACCACATCAGCCTACACAGACTGGATGCGTGAGCTTTTGTTTTGAGTGGAAGAATTAAGAAAATGTCCAATTTTTTACCAGAAGTCTAAAGATTCTGAGTAATTCTTTTCCCATTGTAGAAATAAGTGAAGGATACACAGGCTGTCTGCTAGCAGACATGGAGTGAAGGGATGGGTTCTGTAACTTTGACCACTCTTCAATGCAGGACAGCACACTGAAATTTGTATTCACATGCTCATCCAATCAGAAGGAGCCTCACTAAATCATCTGGTGCCAGCCATTCAACTGTCAAACCCTAACTCATCATCCACAAAGTCAGCAACTTAAGGAGTAACAATGTTAAAGGGCTCCGCCTGTACTTAAAAAACTAGGATTACAATGTACTGCCTTCACGCTCATTCACATCAACTCGGTCTTATTCGGAAGTCGTCAAGTACTGTCACTTGGGCAGTGACTTCGCGTGTCAGACACCAACGGAAAAATGTCGTCCCTTCATGTAGGCATGATGGTTGCTGTTATCATGTAACGGCACCTGGCGGTGAAAGTTAAGGGGTGGTAAGTCCTAGTAAGGTGGGTGGGATCGGGGGTGGATGGGTCCAGCAACCACCGACCAGGAGGTCCGTGTTTGCTTTTCGTATGAATGTAAAGCCAAACGTGTGTGTTGGCGAAACGTAACCACATCCATTTGTTGTCGAAGGGAAAAACATCAATTTACAGCGTTGTATCGTAGAAGTACATTTATTTTGAAAGAGACTGTAAGCACACTGTACATTTCCTGTGAAAACGGAAGTGTCTTTTGAAAACACACAATGCATGCAACTAGCCGAAGTTGACACGGCGTCCCAGAACGTCAACAACAAATGCACCCAGGGTAGCTTACATGTCATATGTCAATATGGAAAGACTTTGACCAAGCAACGATATATGGCGAGGTCAGGGTGAGAATGTGTTATTCACATAGGTTTTAGTTCAAGCAGGGGCAGAGCCAGACGAGGCAAACATTTGAAGCTCTGCTCCCCAGGAGAGATTTTTTTTCCCATTTACCCCATTTAGTTATGTCCACGGTTTTTCAAGTCCTTTGAAATAATAAGAAAATAACAAGCAGCCACCTCCAGGGCAGAAAAATAATACCAAAAGGAAGTGCTAAAAACTGCAGCGCTTTAAATGGCCACTTGAGGCTGGCTCCAGAAGCCAGACAATATCGGGGCTACTCTAAAAATCAAGGATCCTCAACCATGCCAAGTGAATGTGGCCATTAATACTCTGAATTGAATATTAGGCCAACAGAGGAACACTAACTTAGATATATTTTTAGGGAATTGCATAGATTCAGGGCTAGAGCCCCAGAAGCCACTCCAGTGCCCCATCTCTGGCTTAAATGCTTACAAGGGTGAAGCCCAGTAGAGGTATTCCCTGCTGCCTGCACCATCAGGACAGAATAGGACTCAGACACAGAAAAGCAGGATGCTCTTCCCTCTGCACAGGAGGAGGGAAGGTAAAAAGTGGTATTCAAAAATAGCCCGACTGACCTTAAAGGCACAATGTGTAACAATTTCAGTTGTTCTTTGAGACACATTTTGCAGTCAAAAGTGTGTCCTAGCACATGTGTATTTACCTCCATCAGCGTTTTTAATTATGTCCGTAAGCTCCTAAATTCTCATTTACATATACATTGTGACCGGTGTCTCATCATGTACGTGCGCCATCTTGAAAATACAGGTACGTACAGGGATATACTTGAGAAATACAGAATCGCCTTTCGCGTTTCCACTTGTCGGTTTCCGGTTTCCTCCTGCAGGTAGAGTGACGAAAAGCAGCAGCAAGCAGGCTAGTCACAAGTGCTGGTGCATTTGAAAAAAGGCAAAAAAGGCAACATGACCGGCGATTTCAAAAAACGAGGGTCAACATCGGGGTAGCCTTTCCCAGGTGAAGAGAGCTGCTGAAGGAGAATCACAGCTAACAGCGGCTAACAGCTGTTAGCAACGAGCTCCGCTAACAACGCCGCTAACAGGTATTAGCCGCTGTTAGCGCTGTTAGTGCTGTTAGCTGCGCTGGTCGCTAACAGCTGTTAGCGACGCAGTGTTGCGAGGAGAGGGATGAGGTGTGTGAGGTTGAGCCACTTGTCAGTTGTCAAAAGACAAGACGTGATTGGTTTGTTTCGATTTACACCCGCCCCAACAGTCCTACATTGTAAACACAGCCAGCATGGTGAGGAGGGGGGTTGTCAACTCGCGTCACGTGTGTCTATGTAGAAGCCTGAATGAATACTCCATGAAGTATTGGATGACATGGTT